TTTTTTTTTGTAATTTTGAAATAATAATTAATATCAAAGAATACTTATTTGGTGCATTATCAATAACATTGAAAGACTTTTTTTTTTACTTATAATTATTAATAAATATATTTTCCAATAGCGATGTTTAGTTGAAATCTTTAAGTCATGATTAAATTATGAATATGTTTACATAATACAATCAACATTTGGAAAAAAAAACATAATGCCATACGTTCGTAAGAAGTATCGACATGCTTATGCCATTCTGTCAAGGACCGCTTCAAAGAAAGTTATAGAGAGCAGTACAATCACGACATTTTTATTCTATAAAAACATCCCCCTAGCACAAAGCATCTCATTGATTATTACACGCATGGTTGACTAATGTCTTGAATGAGTTTATTTTTCAATAGCTATTTCAACATGTAATTTGTGAAGAATTGTTAATAATTGGGTCGTTATTCAAGATTCATATATATATATATCTTTTCAGAATTAAGGAGATCTCAATAAAATATTACCTTAGCCATGTTTTTGTTTGTTGAGAAAAATTGATAGATGTCGCTAGTTAATGATACTATCACAATAGAAACAATACGATCTAATAACGTTGTAAGCTGTGTCTAATTTTTTTTTTCTGTACAATTATAAGCCTACGCGAGTAACTAAGATTTCTTATAGAAATCATTCGATGAATCATACATAATTATCTGGTAAAATTTGCTAGCCTTCCATTTACCATTAAGCGCTACTGTCGTTTATAGAAAAAAAAAATCATAATTTAAAAGAATTCATTTTTAATTTTTATTAATTTTTTTATTAAAAAAAAATCACTCGATGTATTTTTTTTCTTTCGACCAATAGAATTATCGATCTCTAAATATATTCAATATAGTCGGTGTTTAATAATAATGCTGATCATTTACCAATAAAAATTGCTTAATTCCACTGCCTCTTTTTTTTTTCTTTGTTTATAGATATTTATCAATCATGCAAATCTTTGTTAAGGTAGAATTTAATTTTGAAATTTAAAACACAAAAAAAAAAAATAATTATTATTTTATTTTAGACTCTTACGGGTAAAACTATTACTCTCGAAGTATGTTTTTATTCGATATTATAAATTTTCAAATAATTTTTATTTATTCAGGTTGAACCATCGGATACAATTGAAAATGTGAAAGCTAAAATCCAAGATAAGGAAGGTATTCCGCCAGATCAACAACGTTTAATATTTGCTGGCAAACAACTTGAAGGTAAATTTGAATAAAAATGAAAATAAACAAAAAGTATTTTATTTTTAGATGGTCGTACACTTTCGGATTATAATATTCAAAAAGAAAGTACCCTTCATTTGGTTTTACGTAAGTCAATATACATATATATTATTCATATAAATTTCTTTTCTTTTTAAAGGACTTCGTGGTGGTACAATTGAACCAACACTCCGTATGCTTGCACAAAAATATAATTGTGATAAAGTCATATGTCGAAAGTATGACTCAAAAAACAAATAGTTTTGAAGAATAAATATTCATTTTATTATTATTTAGATGTTATGCACGACTTCATCCACGTGCTGTTAATTGCCGTAAACGTAAATGTGGTCATACGAGTAATTTACGACCAAAAAAGAAACTCAAATAAACATTTTTTTTTTTCTTCATGCAAAAGAAACATCTTATAAAATAACAAAAGAAGAATAAAGAGGAAACAAAATCCGATTGCATCTCAATGATTTTTTTTTCTTATTTGAAGTTGATAAAATTTCCAGTAGAAATATAATGATGCTATGATGCATAAAGTTCAATATCCTTGTGAATTTGTTAGTTAATCATTTGCTTTATGATTGCAGAAAACAAAAAAAAAAACATTGTTTCACTGAAATAAAATTATATAACAAATTGTCAAATGTTATTAAACATGTATGAGATCAGAACGAATAGTAAAATATTAGTAGGATTAGGCATACATTCAAAACTCAATAACAAACTTTGAATATTGCTCATTGATTATGAACTGTTTGATTTAATAAGAGATTGAAAGGATACTGAACAAACAACTCTGTTTTTTTTTCGATTGGTTCAATCATGTAATTTAACAATGGTGCCGTAATCCTTCTTTTGACATTCTCTAAACATCATTCTTCTACCGATAGAAAAATGTTGTGTCACGTAGTTCAGTAAATAAGCATGGTTTTTCTTCATTCAGGCAAAAACGATCCAAACGGTTGGAATGCGTGTGTAATTGAAATTAAGACTAAAAATAAAATAATAGAATAGAATAGAATATTTTTCAAGTAAAAATAGCGCTTAAATAAAATAATTATCAAAATTTGTATTATTGTTTACTACATCGTTGTAATTCATGTTACAATATAAAAACGATCTAGTTCGAAAGAGGAATAGCCGAACGCTCATATATTGAATAGTCCAGAATATCTAATGCAAATAGTTTTTATATTTGCAGAGCATAATTTTTACAGTTGAGTATTTGAAACATACATAATGAACATAATTTTGACTCAAAAACGATTTGTCCGTTCGAAGACTTTCACGTTCACAAGATATTTAATTTCTTAAAACAACGGCCAACGGCTTACTATAGAAGGACACGGTCATCGAATCTACTCGGCCTTTGTCATAAAGTGAATTCAAATGATGTCTGATAGTTGGATATATTCCCTAAGTAAGATCAAACGATGGGTGTAGGTGTAGGTGTGGGTGTGGGTGTCTAATGAACAATGCAAACATACGCACACTTATATTCACACCTATACCCACACCCAAATCATGTACGAAAATATTCATCACATAAATTATATAAACTTCGTAAATGTTGTGATAATGAAAATAAATCAAATAGATATATTTTGTAATTAACCAACGAATATATAGTTCAATTAGAATTTCTAATGATGATGTTAAATCAAGGCCATGATGAGAAAATAAAACGATGAAATGAACTCTAAATTATATGTTTTTAAAGGTGGATGTTCATACTTTACTTTTCTAATTGATAGAAAATATTTCTCATATTTTAGACTGTATTAATAGAATATAACAAGTAATCAGAATGAGAGAAACACTAGATTTTTTGTATGATGAAATTAATTTATCAATGAATTTGTTTTTCTCTTAACTTAGATTTCTGTATAATAAAGTTTAAAACT